AAGAAAAATATCTAGCCTGAGCTTGAAATGTTAGAGAGTTAAGTTTAAGTGAAGGGTGAAGGGTGAAGGATGAAGTCAGCAGAACACAGTTGAGGCCTAACTTGTTTACCAGATTCTACTTTCTGCTGACCCAGTTTCATCAGTGCTGTTGTTACGTAATTACTTGACTGATTGATGATTGAAATCTTCGAACAGTCAAAACATTTACAGCCTCGACAGCTCCATTGGGAGTTCTAATGAAAAACTTGATCAAGAACTCTTGATAAAGTCTAGGCTTCTGATTTCAGTCAGGTTCCAACTTCCCATGGCTGACCTTGAATCTACTGGGCAATAGGCCTCCTTGTAGTGTTGTTTCCTCCATTCCTAACCAGTTCAGCTGACGACATCAAGAATGGAATCTAGGTCTTCGATTGTTCGAGAAAATGTCTGATCTTTTCGTAAAGCTTATTGAAGAACAACGTGCCCTGAAACAGTAAAGCTGTTATGATAAACGTAATATCAAATGAATTATTGGTTATAGTAAATTCTACAATTTTCACTATTGAGCTGTAAAGAAAAGTCAGAAGTGAAACAGGCCACTGCACAGGGGTAACTTTAGGTCAGCAGACAACAAAATTGGGGCAAAACGCAGTTACTTAATTCTAAATAATTACAGCTTTCTAATGTGAATTTTCTTACCTGAGAACGAACCGGGTAGAGTTGGACAACTCTGGACGCCCTTAGGTCCATTAATTGTCTTTAAAACCAAATTACTGCATTGAAACCTCCATTTTCTTGTCGAAATGCGTCCTACCAGGATAAAAAGGAAAAGATGACTGACGATTACGGGAACTACTTTGGAGTTCCTTTGCTAATATATTCAAACTCATCCGCAGCATATCTAATTAGCTCTTCTGTACAACGATACTACAAGAATTCAAGGCTTTTAATGAGTTACTGAGTTTCTGCAATTCAATAAAACCATTCTTTTGATAACTTTGTTACGTTATTTTATTGCGTACGTTTACATTCAAATAAAACTTTCGAATTGTGTTGGCTTCGCGGATCAACAAAGCTGCGAAATGGCTAGGCTGCTCTCATTATTTGTTGACGTTTTTCAACGGTGAATTCAAATGTTACTAAGGAATTAATATCACTGTTGTCTGAATTTTCCATATTATTATTTATTCTTTCCTCTAGCGAAATAAGTTTTGAAAATCAGTCATAAGTGAGGTTTTAAGCGTTTTGTTCTGAGAACTCTTACGATTTTTTCAAAACGCCGTTTGTTTGGATAGGTTCACCCCCTTTCAAAATGAACTGGACTGAGAAATCCCAGACCGTTGATTGGATAATATTTTCTCTCAGCTTCCAGCTGATTCAGGACAACAACGCTGATTTGTTTTGAAATTGAACGGGTTGCTAGCATTTGCGCCTGGTAGTTTGTTTACATTTTCCACCTTTCTTCTTTCGGTTCACCCAGCCGCCCAAAGTGAAAGTGATCATTAATCAAATATTTTTTAAATGTTAGCCTATGGAGAAGTTGCACTGTTAAGTGTAGCCTAAATAATGTTTATGTTTGAGTAGTACTTTTCTTCGAGCCTTTACTTTATGTTTTCCAGATCAAGATCTGGTCTCGAACTCGAAAGCCAACTTAAAATTTTGAGCGCTATCCAGAGACCGTGACCGTGATGTTGTGAGTTTGAATTGCCCTGAGTTTGTGAGCAGAGATGCATCATTCTCGCCACCATGCACCACTACTTTCTTGATGAAGTTGAGCACAACTGACTCTTCTGAGGACCAAACATGTGCCTGAAGCCAAAAGATTCCACCATGGTAAGCGACCTCAATGTGCGAGTTTACACATATATATACATTATAAGATTCTACATATTGCAATGAGTAGTAGGCCTACAGTACAGTACAGTCAAGTGGAGTATCAAGATTATAGCCTAGAAATACTAGAATGTAGTTTTATCTATAGGCCTTCTGGGCCCTATAGATCTAGAATCTAGATCTAGTATAGACTACTAAAGTAAAGGATAACTTTGTCAATAACATTATTCAACAGCAGTCTACACCTTAGCCTTAGCTCCCACAGCTTACGATCCTGGTTCGCTTTTTTAAAGACATATACTCATATATATATATACTTAAGATCCCGCTGTTTTGAAATAAAACTGAATTTTTACTCTACACTATACATCCCTAAGTCTAAGATCCCACTCTAATCCACTCTGAAGGTCTACATTCGGCGAAGATCTCGCATTTCTGATCATAATTTATGGAACAAACACCAGGGCGGGTACAGCCGATCATCCAAGAGTGAAAAGTTGAGATCAATGAACTGCCTGTTGTGTAAAGGATTAGAGCTATGCTCATGAATGTGATCACATAACATAAGCGATGAAATGGTACAATGTTTGTCCGAGATGGAATCACGCCGATGTGTAAACTAAGCTACACGTTTGTTTTCCCTGAACATCTCACTCGTACCAGAGCTCTCCACTTGTCTTAACTAAACTTACATCACTCGCTCCAGGCGGGATTCCATCGTGCTGTGAAAACTTCCCTGACCATTGCAGAGCAGTTTTCTCTATTTCTGAGTTTGCGAGACAGACTAAATTTTATGTGGTCACAACGTAATATGGTGCGTAACGACAAAGGCAAGGGAACTTGGTCAGAGAAGGAAAGAGCCTATAAATGTTCGAAAGGTAAAGGCAGGGGAGGGGCAACTGGATAAATAAGTGTAGATCTTGAGACTCACGATAGGATAATCAGTGAAAATGGCACGCCTCATGATGCCACTATGCAATGTGATAGAAGGTCATTAAAGTTAACCACTTGCCATATATGTCTTAAACCCACCCAGGGGGCATGTCAGTTCATTTTAGAGTGGAGGGAAACCATTTCACCGATTATGAGCCTTAGCATGGGTCACCCAGGCGTGGTTCGTCCATAGAGCACGGTCGTGCAGTGCCGCCCAAAATGTTTTAATGTTCTATGATGTAAAGCACCCACAATAATAAAATAAAAGATGCCAGAAACAAATACTAGTCAAATATTATATCAAAACAAGGCCCTCGCTGACGCCGTAACTGTCATTTCTATTCTATAGCACCGTAAAACATCTACTATGCCATGCCTAAGTTCATGCGCTGTATCTAAACATAACAGGATAGTCAACAGTGGAAACCTGACCTATAAATCGCTCTTTGGGATAACCCAAGCGATGACGACACTTTTTGTAAAGAGTTTGGCGGTACATTAATATTAATTAGACAGAACATCTCAAATGTGCTCCTGCCGTATAGCGCCGAAGCCGAAGCATAGCCCACAGTAGGCAATCTAAAAATAAATGCCATAGACTGTGCACTATTCCATGCCAAAATTATGTGGGCCCCAGAGCAATCCAGCGGAGTGCTCAAGTGAATTGTGATTCGGTTCATTGTCTTGTCGCTATTTTAAGTGACTCTGTGACCGTGAACCTGAGGGAGGTGAACGTGACATACTTTAGTCGCCGTCCTATGAGTTTTGCTTTTGAACGGTTTTGTAGTGGAGTGGTGAAAGGTATTACTTGAGTGTTCAGTTCTAATGCAGGATGAATGAGATTGATGTTTAGCTAACAAACAGATTTAGTTCTAGAAGTCAAAGCCACAAGTAAAAAGAATGAAAATAAAAGCACAAGGTCTTCCTTCACCAACCCAAAGATCCTAAAATTATACACCATCCCATTTACTCTGCCCTTGATTATCTTCAGCCTAAGATAGCTTAATTGTGCACGCCCACTTTTTAGACCCACGAGCCGCCCCTGGGGTCACCATAGATTTCTTCTGTGGGTTCATCGGCTAAGATTCTGGTTCGCCTAAGATCCTGCATTTTTCATTGCTCCCAAGCAACGGGATCTTAGGCGGAGACTAAATACTGTAGAAACTTGGAGAATGTTAGTTCAATTTTTCTGGAATGCTGATAAATAGTATGTCTGGCATTCTAGTTAAATGGTACACCTCTCCAGCTTACCTCTACTGTCCTACCCTAAAATATGAACCTTTACACTGGCTTTACACGTATCCTCCCTTACCCTAACGATGTAGCCTTCACTGTAAGGCCTTATATAATAAGTTATATAATGTGAATCCAACTAGAATCTATGAATACAGTTTATGAAATTTGCACCTGGAAGTTTGCCAATCCAATAACAATAAAATCTTTTAAATTATATAGATTATTATCGTCTGTGATTTTAATTAAATTTCTTTATTTGCGAGGAAGGAAAACCACCTGCAACAGATTTTGAAATGTTAAGCAGAGTTCAAGTTGATGAATGTCTAAATTATCTAACCAGGCTATCTGTCCACTCTTGATAGCCCACGAAAAGGGCGTCCAACCATTTCCATTGACTTTATAATTGCTGATTGTTTTTTTAGGGTGTCTCCATACTAGACTAGCATAGCAATTTATGACCATTTTGTCATAAGGCACTTACTATAATTCAACCTTTTTGATGAAATATGGTCATTCTCATCAAGAAATGATGAGGGAAGCTACGAAACAAAACTGATAAAGGAATCCTTCTGCATGGCAGTGCTCCAAGGCATAGAATAATGAAAGTGACGTGGTAACAAAGACAACTTAAACAGCAAAAAAGCAGTATGATGACAAAACACGGATGTTCACCTGATACAGTATCCACTTTTTCATTTTCCAGTTTAAACTGAAAAAAGTTCTGAAAGACAGCATATATATATATATATATGCGAAATTTCTTGCTTTCATTTTTCATTATAATTTTTCATAATCCGGGTAAAGTATTGAATGACCGGCTTAGTCAGATCACCAAAGTACTGTTATTTAGTTTAATTAGCAGCCTGTTCATTGTAATTGAGATCAGTGTCTGATCACCCTCCGATATCAAGTTTGTGCGGACATTTTTTCTTTTTGTTTTTTATTTCTTTTGCTTGAAATTACCAGACTGAAAGGGAAGGGAGAACGAGAATTTCATAGAGGACAGTTTTATTTTAAAGTGAAATCTGACATTTTGGGTATAATTGAGTTTAGTGTGCAGGATATTTCTTATATTTGGCTTTGTTAAGAGCAAAAAGACTTTTTCGTTCACACTCATCATTAGCCAGTGTGGAGAATTTGACCTCATTAAGCTTCTTAATCTTTCTGTATTGTTTTTGTGCTGCTATCATGCCATAATGTTCCCATAGATACTGAAAATTTGTTAAATTTTTCAGGTGCTGGCTGATAAGATTATGGGTGAACTACAGCAGGTCATGAACAAAGAAGCATCCTTCACTACTGGTGGAAACCTGAAAGAACTAGTGAGTAAAGTTTCGAAAAGATGTTAATCTCATGGAGTCTATTAAATACTCAGCAAATAAGATGTCCTGGTCTGAATAAGATTTGAACCCATGGCCTTTATGTTTGCAAATCTGGCAGCTTTGTCATTGTAAAAATTGTAAAAAAAGAAGATGGGACCTGTAAACATTTTTTACAAGCGTTTGGTTTTCAACAACTATAAAATACAGGCTGTGTTTAGAAAGGATCAGTTTCGAGAATAAAACAGTAACAGGAAAATGTTTTAACAGTTGGGAAAATCTTCTGTGTTTTAGCTTGTTGTACATGCATTTTCTTTAATATACTCTTGCAAAGGTTAACGAGTTTCAGTATATAAAGAAAAATCTGTGTTGTTTACTCTTTATTAAACTATATGAGGATGTAAAGACTTGGCTGAATCCACTGTTTTCTTTTATTTAATAAGATGGCTGCTCGAGGAAGACAAAATCCTTTTCTCATTCTGTGTAGGTGATCCTCACTATTTATATTAATGAAAACGAGAGAGGGATTCTATCATGTTTAATGGACGGCATTGTCCATCACTCCAGTGGGAACAAAGTACACAGACGAATTTCTTTTATTTATCTCATCCCGAGCAAGCCGTCTAAGCTCATTCAGTGTGCCTGCCTCTGATCTTTTGTCCTCAAATTTTCTTTTAGGTTATAGATCAAGTTAGACTTGGTCATAGGCCAAACTACTCAACCGAGTTACTTATAAGAACTTGCGTATTGTTATTCTGTACTTGAAATCAGCTTGGAAGAGACACTGTGTCTTTTGGGTAAAATTTGTAGGTTTAGAAAGATGAATGGAATTTTGTTGTCTATATTTTTTTATATTTTATTTGTATGAGAGTGGACACTTAATGTATTTGTCTGACTTAGAAAGAGTGGGC